GGAAAAGACAAGTAAGCCTCTAACTGTTTATTTAATTTCTTTTGCTTATAAGGGTAATGAAATAATTTATTGTGAAAAAAGTAAAAAAACTAATTTGACCTAGAAAATTTGGTGATCACCAATAGATCATCTTGAAAAGATAATTTTATCCTATCAACAAGGCCATTGATTTTCATAGATAAGGGAAAAAACACACTACCATAATTTTACATATTATCAATGAATTGTTTTGTTGCTATTTACACATTGATTCTTTTGAGAACATATTTAATTATTAATGGGTTTGTTCTGTCGCTATTTACTAAAGACATCATGAATTGTTACTTTTCATTGAAAATATTTTTGTCAGTGATTTCTATTATTTCAGTAAATTCATTGGTAATATTAACACTAATGAATTTATAGAGAGAAAAAGCATGCAAAAAAATAAAAAAAAATTTATCAATATTTTGTTGTTGGTAATCCAATCGGTAAGTATGCCATATCACTAACAAATAAAATTATTTTTAATTTTATCGATGATTTATTTTATAATATCGATGAATAAGACCCATTAGTTATTAACATATGAACATTCTTATTTTATTTTAAAATTCAACAGCACTTTTCATATACGAGAGATAACCTAAAATTCATGTGTCTATAAATATACATTAATAAATAAAATCACACACTAGTTGATTTTATTTATGACTATGTTTTTATAAATTGATGATTTTGTAAGATGAATAAGACAATGAATCAAACAAGGAAACATGACATTCAAAAATAATTATTTTCTAACATTTAAATTACCAACTAAATATTAAATTTGATTCAATTTAACCCCAACAAACACATTATATTTAACACATCCTAATCATTTTCCTCCAAATTAACCCCAAATCCTAAACTACAAAATAATTATTTTTTGAATAATGTAATTGTCAAGTTAACTTTAACTTTAGCTGAACTCAATCATAAAAACAATTTATTTTATAAAAACATATCCTAATTAATTATTTCAAAATTAAAATCAAACCCTAAATCACAATATTATTTTATCCTAACACCTCCATTAGCAACTAAATTTTAAATTGAGACTTAATTCAACAAAAAAAATTATTATTTTATGAAAAATGCTTTCTAATCAATTTATCCCAAATTTGCACCAAATACTAATTCATTCCTAACATATTGAAAATTTTTATATAACTTTAAATTGAAATTCAATTCAACCCCTACAAATATACTATTTATAAAAATTTATTATATATTTTTTATTTATGAATTAACCTCAAACCTTAAATTGTAAAATTTTAACACAACTATATTAAAACTACCAACAATAACAAACATATAATGTAAAATACACACAAACTAAATGGATTTTCTTGTATTAGATAAAGTTTTTTAGGCAAAAAAAATAAAAATAAAAATGATAAACACAGAGTATAAGCTATCACAAAGCAACAAAAACTCAAAACTCACTGACATAGCAAATAAAACCTAAAAAAAGAAAAGAAAATGAAAACCCTTACCTTTTAATCAAACTCAGTAAGGCTTGTATATTTTCTTGTAAGAATAAAGAGAAAACAAGCATAAGAGCTTTGAAAAACAAAGAATAGCAAGATATTTACCTGGAAAAGTCATGGATGCATGGTGGATTAAGGATGAAGAAGTGGAGGGGAAGAGAAAGAGAGAGAGAGAGAAGAGATTGACAAAGAAAGAAGTGATTTTTTGCTAGAGAGGTAGAGAGAAGAAATAAGAATACATGTTTGATAGAAAATTAGAAATTCTAGTATTTTAATTAGAGTTTTATATTGATAAAATTAGTTAGTGGACATAACAACTTGATATACATTAACTAGCTCGTCGATTTAAAAGACATCATCTATTGCATTTAATTCGTCATTATTTTCTTGGACAACTTGAATATGACTATTTAATTTGGTTTTCACTATGGACAACCAATTAACCCTAGAACAATCCTTTCTAAACGAAGGTGTCTGTATTCATATTAATCTTGTTGGCATTACTTGGCAAAAATAAAGATATTATTGACAATGTAAAGTACAACTTTCATATTAATCATGACCAAACCATGATGAGGATCTATTATGATTTTTTTATTAATGATATCATACCAATAATATTTGAATTATAAAACATAACCTTATGGTAGATTGACTCAACTATGCAAAGTTATAGTTTAGCTAATGATCCAGTCCAAGATATAAATTATGGGTTAACAGATCAACTCAAGTTGACCTGGATAAATTTAAAATAACATAGTTTTAATTTTATTTTTAAAGAAACAATGTTGTTTAGGGAAGGTTAGGTAAATTAAGTCTCACTTGGGTTTTTACTAGCTCACAAATTAGTCCAATAAATTCTTGAACTGTTTTGATATAAAACTTAGTTTAAGTCAGGTCCTAAATAGATAGGTCAAGTACTCTTTTCAAATGTTGTCCCTATTAATATATCATATATCATTTTGTTTATTTTTATGAGTCCTTTAATATATCATTTTGTTTATTTTTATGAGTCCATTTATTAATCAAAAGACACCCTTTTTTGAGGTGATTATAAGCCATGAGGTGCCTTTCACAATCAAAATTATACAATTGTTTTATTTTAATTTTCTTCAAGTACAATAAATTTAGAAAGGATATTTTATATATAATTCAATAATTTTTTTTCATGATAATGGATATTTAAGATTTAAAAAATTAAACTCTACTAAAAAACAATCTTAAAGGTTATACTACTTAGTTGTGCAGCGCCTGAATTTTGATTTCTTAAAGGGCGTTTGATTTGCTAGAAGGGTGGTGCTGTTAGGACTTGGTTAACCAAAATGCACCACACAAGTTGTAGATGACACAATACTCTTGTTTATTGCTATGTCTAGGCCAAGTAGCAGGAGAAACTTTTCGGCTTCTTTTTGTTCGAGGACCACACAAACAAAGCGAGTAATTAGTGATATTTTGCATTTTTTTTTTTGCACAAAAATGAAAGAAGAAAAAGAAATAAGAGAGAGGAGGGGTCAAACACCATGTTACAACTTAAAAACTACTGATAAATATGATAAATATTATGAAGAGTTTACTGTATCGGTAATACTGTTTATAATTATGACATATTATTTTTTTCCATCTTCTTTTATTTTTAAGTATAATTTTCTTGGTATGCATCATGACAAAATTTAATCAGTATATACTAAAGAATATAAAAAAAATATTTTATTGATAAATATCATTGCCATTTAGCAAAAGAAAAAAATTCTTCAATATTTCTATTTAAATTTATTAATTTTCTGATAACGATTTAAATATATTATCTCAATTCATACTATTTTGTATCTCGGTAACTTTCGCTAGTTTTATTTTTTTGTTTTTTGTTTTTTTTTTCCATAAGTTAACGTTTAATCTTGGCCAGTTAATTTACGAGCTCTCTATTTATTGCAGTGTTAACATGGGCCAGTTAATTTGGACGCATTAGACGCAAGGATGACGCCTGTAAATTGTCAAATGATCCAAAATGCTAGTGCAAACTAAAGTCACAAGGCTGGTATATGCATGGCAAGTGGAGATCACTTCAGAAAAAGAAGGTTTTTACTTTTCTTTTCAAGACACGATGGCAAGGAATAAATCTTCCAGTGTCAATGGTCTAATTTGCCGCATTACCAAAAGAATATATAAAATATATGTAACCCTAAACTTACTTTCCAACAATTACAAGAAAGACAACGACCCACCAAAATTCAACATTTTGTGGGGACAAATGAACATGGCGAATTGGTGATTGATCCCGATATTGACGTCTTTACTCTTAGTTTATGTTCTAATCCAGCAGCAAGGCATGAAATAATTTTCTTTTCTTTTTTGGATCAATGAAAAATGTTGCAAATCTCGTTTCACACTTGATTTAAATCATAGTTTTAATTCTGTTCTAATTCAAGGCTTCATTCTATTCCAATTCTAACTCTAAAGAGTACTCCATGAATATGCATGGAATGAAAAGATTGCTGAGAGTTGAGCATGGTAAGCAACTGTGGCAAGTCCTGCCATGGTTATCACTTATCACCATTTACAGATTAAATGGGGTCTCTTTTGTCCGGACAATAATGAATGAGTGTTAAATCCTGTCGGGAAAACTAGAAAATTAAAAGCCATAAGTGTACAAGTTTCAACCGATGTCACATGCGCCATGAAAGGTCCAAATACCAATTTATTTAGTATCTCCTCATTCACTCTCAAGCACCTGTGCACCTTGCACCTTCAATCAAGGGAGATCTATTATTGTTAATTAAGCTCTGACTTCATGGTGCATTAATTTCACATGCCATGAAATAAGGGGCAACTCGGCTTCGCATTATGATCATGAAGTGTGAAGACGAAGAATTCTATGAATAATCACAAGAATTTCTGGTGTGAAAAAATGGGGTCGTGCATGTGTAAACCTAAATATATATGGTATGGATGTTCTTTCACTTTCCAGATATAAAGTGTATAACCCACGGTATCCATCACTTCATAATATGAGGACAACATCTTGGCTAGAGGGTTCACATTTTTGTATGTGACTGTACTAGCACCTTCTCAAGTCTTGCATTTGTTAGAATAATTAACACATATAGCTCTCTTATTGAGCTAAAGTTGATTGAAATAAATATTTACATGAAGATCATCGTCAACAAAGCCTGCAAATTCAACGTCTTTCCGACAATCCTATATATTTATCATGGATAGCACTGAGGTCAAAAAACAGTCATGAGGTTTCTGAAGATTTAATATCTTTTCCCCACGTAAATATAATATAAATATTCAGTGCTCATTACCGAAAGGAAAAAAAAAAAAAAAGAGTTCATGTTGACCCTACATTAATGAACTCGTAAACCTACTTTACTTTTCTAAAACTTATTTCACCATGAGAATGCACTATAAATAATTCGGGTTGGTATTGTCTAACCTCCTTCAAAAGTGTTTCTCCTTGGTTTTAAAGATTATTAAGCTCAAGAAATGGCGAGGAGGGAGTTCATGTCCACTACTCAGGTGCTGATGGTAGTGTTTCTTGTATTTTTCATGTTTCAAAGCAAAGTGGCTTCCAGGATTGGCATGGGTTGTACTCTTGCTTGTCATGTTGATGAAGGAACAAGAACACAAGAGCATGCAGATACGGAAGATGATTCAGGAGATGAAAATGGACAAGGAGATTATGATTACTACAGAAGGTATGGTGATGTTCCAAGCCCAGGTATCGGTCACTGAAGGGAGAATTGGGCTCTTCTATATCTCCTTGACGGTGTTTTTCTCTTTTTCCTTTTCTTTTGTCCATTATACATATGGTTTTATATCTGTTGATTTGGTTGAATCTCTGCTCCATCTTGTTCGTTGTATAGCTATATTATACTATTTTTTCTTCACCTGTTTTAATAAATATAAGAAATTTTATTAAGGATTTGGTCAAACTGCTGATTCGAGGTTATCCTCATGGCAAATCAATAGATTTCAGCCTAATTTTTATTGTTTTTTTTTTTTTTTCTCAGTATAGTCAAGGGGTTCGTTCCATCGAGTCCACTTTTTGGAAACTCACTCTCTTTATATCTCTGGGGCATACCTGGTCTGCAATTGTGTGGACATATTCCTAAGAAAGTCCCTCGATTATTTTCACAAGTGATCATGGCTTATGATAATTGCTCTTATTTTATTGCTTTTCTTTCCCTTAGAAAGGGAAAGCTACGGAATTTAGATCACCAGACTGCACGCTTCATGATGTGGTTTGCTTCTATGCAAGAATGAATATCATAAACCCAGCAATTTCTTTTCTTTTCCTTTTCATTCCCCACAGGGAGCGATGAGCAGGGATAGTGCTCAAGGCAAATGGTATCGAATTAGATATTAGACTCTCGCGTTGTTCTTAAAAAAACAGTAAACATGTGAGTGAATGCTAGTAAAAGGTAATTCAGGTGACTCTTGAAGGTATTTGGAATTTTTGACGATGTCTTAATCATCTAGCCCATCTAGTCGTTAGCAAGTGTATAGTACTTAAGGATAGGGTCATTCGGTGAAACTTATCCATTTCTGATTTTTTTACGTAAAAATATATTAAAATAATTTTTTTATTTTTAAAAATTATTTTTAATATCAATACATTATAATCATGTACTAATATAAATAAATAATTTTAAATTAAAAATTAAAATTTTAAGAAAATATAATTTTAACCGCCCTTCCAAACTCTAGAAAACAAACAAAACAACACTATAGAGAGAAAAAGACACAAGAACAAAGCATCTGAGGTTAGTATGTGGTTCGAAGTACACCATGGAAAGGATAGATACGAGAAAATCCAAAATTATCTCTATATCACGGGGAATGTTTCTACCTCTTTTTTGAGGGGACAAGCGAAAGAGACGAGGACGGGAAATTTTGATGTTTTTTTTTTTTTTTTTCAATTACGTCCTCATGAATCTCTTGCCTAAACAATCTTGACCATCCATCATACCCGGGTTATTTTCCGCCTTTAGATCTACTTAAACTAAGAAAATACAAAGTAAAAAACAAAAAATAAAAAAGAAGGAAAAATAAAGAAGAGAGAGATGGGGAAGAGAGAGAAAATTATAGGTGACATAATGTACCAGCCTTCACATAAAAGATCTTATCTCTAGGGAATTGATGGGCACACAAAATTGGACTATTTTATTATCAGAATTGGAAGATATATTGATTTGAAATTCTAGATTAAAAAAATCAAACTCAAATTTTTAAATCAATTGGTTGCTAAAAATTAATCTTTTGATCTTATATTTGCTCCTAATCAGTCTAGATAAGTGTTTGGATATGTTTCTTGATTGATGAACAGAAAATGAAAATTTGATTATTCTTGTCAGAATAAATAAATAAATAAAAATACTAAAATTCGATGATCAAATAAACAAGATGGGAATGCACGGTATCTCATCCATAGCACATCTTTACACTCCTTTCCTCCAACCTAGGCCTGCATGGTGGTACATGTTCATGTTCATGTGAATTTTAAATTTCATTAATTTATTTTATTATTTATTTATATATTATATACTAAAATTAATTAATTAATTTTATAATGAAAAAAATAATTTATTACTAGTTAAATATGGTTCGAGGTGACATGCCATATAATAGATGTGTTCTTTTATTATGTTTTTTTTAATATTAAATCAATGTGACTTTGTTTTTTCAAATTTTCAGCATAGATAAATCTAATAGGATGGATATATAATTTTAATCATATATATATATGAAGAATATAATTTGTTGAAAATGTAAGCAAATAAACAAAATAAATATGAAATGGATGGTAAACCTAATCACTAGATACAATATTTAAAATATAAATTAATTCGAATAATAAAGTCAATCACCAAATGCAAATGAATGCAAATGAATTAAAATAAATTGGACTACAAAGCCAACCAGTACTAGATGAAAATATAATTGAAATAAATTTGAATTATAAAAATAAATTTCTACATAAAATTGTTGAATTATACTTACATATTGAGTATCCTTAAAAAATATTGGTATAAGAAAATGGAATTATAAATTTTGAAACTTTAGAAGAGAATGAAAACCTTGGAAGAGAATGCTTCCTTATATAGAAAAATTAGCTAGTAGAATGATAATATTTGTAAGCAAAAAAGAAAAAGTGTGGAACCCCCACAAGGACTAATTATACTAATTAGTATTTAAAATTTACCAAATATTAACTATTTAGAAATAAAATTAAAATTTAAAAGAATTTATCACCTAAATGAAACTAAAATATTTTACAAAAGTAAATTAAAATAACAAAGAATTGACCACCTAAATTAAACTAAAATGTTTGTTAAAAGTAAATTAAAAAAACAAAGAAAGGCTGTAGAGATAATAAAAATAAATCTAGAGGTTCTTATTTCATATAGCTATTCCCAAGCAATTTATTATTTCTTGTTAAAAAAATCCAATTCTTCATGTTGATAAAAAAAAATTAATTATTCAATATTTTTTGTTAAATAATATTAGAAATACTCACATAATAATTAAACATATCTCTATGTATATTAAAGTCTTTGAAGATTCATTGAATTCTTTGTATTTTTTAATATAAAATTACACTAATTGTAATAAAGCATCATCTTTCAGTGGTTTTTAATCCAAGAAGTTTTTAATCATAAATTATTTCTTGATTTTATTATCATTCAATTGATTAAACAATAATTGGTTATAAAAAAATATAAGTAATAAGATAAAAAATAAACACTTAATATAAAAAATTTGGAAATAAAATAATTGAGAATTTAAATTGTGTAATCAAACTAGACTACATCAAAATTCTAAAAAAATAAAATTTATTTTATAATAAAATTGAGAGCAGCCATATTTTTATTGAAATACATTAAAATAAAATTAAGAAGAAGAATTAAACTATTTTTTAAAAAATCTATCAATGAAGCACTTTACCCTGACATGACTTCTTCTAGAATATCTCTCTTTTTTCATTGGTTATTCTCTCCTTTTCTTTCCTCCAAGTGAAAAATCTTTTTTTCTTAACAACTCTAGTTATGTGCTTGACCCTTTAATTCAAGTTATATTTTCTCCATCATATGAACTTATTTTGAGAAAGTATAAACATCAATGTTATAAATATAAACATCAACGTTATAAATCTCTCTTTCTCTTTCTCTCTCTCTCTCCACTAAGATTGTTTAATTTAGATATTTATAAAGAAATATTATATTTGATTTATTGAGATATGCTTATATATAAAATTTCTAGTAAGGAAGTTTCTTGATTTTTACCATAGAAAATCTCACTTTCCTCTTTCCATACTTTTCCAAAATGTATGCACAAGTGAACCTTACCTTTTTAAGGTAAATTTTCTCATTTAATTAGCTTTTAAATGGGATTCCTCGCCTTGAGATAATTAGTGTTACTATTTTACTAGAATTCAAGGATTGATGCTAAATTTGTACTTCAGAACTCATAATTCCATGAATTTATTACTCCCTATATATAATTAAAAATAAATAAATGAAACTTATATAAACAGAGATATTGAAGATAAGCTAGTATAAAATTAAATATAAAAATATGGTAAAAATCATATAAAAATTAAGGATATCAAATACCCCCAAACTTATTGGTTATTCTCAAACAAGAAAAAAGAGAAAAACAACTAAAAACAAGAAATTTATAAAGTTTTCCTATTCAAAGGTTGCCTTAAGTTTATAATCTAAATAAATGATTCAATGTCATACAAATCTAAAAGTTAATTTCTAACTTAATTATACCTCATTATCAACCCTCTTATCCATGCATGTCTATCATTTTCACTTTATTATTAGCTCCTTGGATGATTTTTTATAAAAATAAATAAATATAAAATTGATATTTTAATCTCTATAAGCTTGCTTTTCAAATCAATCTTCACTAATAAGTTTGTCTTAGGCTTATAGCGCCAAGCTAAGGTGAGGACTACAAAGAAAAGATAGGATTCAAACAAAGTAAGAGAATTTAATTTTAAACATAAATAAACATACTCATTTTTAATACATACACTACTTCTCAAACCTTTGAATCTCACAAAACACCTCTTTATCATACTTTTACATATTCCTTTTTTTTTTCTTTTAGGAAATAAAATAACTTCCAAGCACCTTATGGACTTTAATTTTTTTGAAAAGTAAGGTAAGGAAGTTAGTGTGTGTGTGTGTGTGTGTATATGGAACAAGTTCTAGAGTTTGTTGAGATCAAATAAATTTATAGTATCCATATAAAGCTTCTCTAAGCGTGCAAAGTAGTTAATAATCATAATAAACATTCATTGAGTATAAAATATATCAAATTACACAAAATTAAGTCAAGGATAAACAAATAGACTTAAGAGATAAGGGTTTTTTTTTCCCAAGAATTATAATCAATTTCAACCACATTCTTATTATAGGTCTTTTTATTTATCAAACCAATTTTGTTTTTTATTTTTATTTTTGGTGTTTCAAACATAAACACATTATTCTCAATAAAAAAAAGAAAATGAAAAATAATGAAAGGGGTAAGAAGTGCTCCTCTGATTTCTAATTAAATGTTGGTCTTAAAAGTGCAACTGTATAACCCATTAGAGATTTTTTAAACTTATGCAACCTACAAAAAAAAAAACAGTAATTAAAGAGAGAAGAAAAAAAAATTAGGTTGCCTTCCAAAAAATACTTTATTTAAAATATATAGTTAGATCATTCTCCAGGTTATTATTTAGAATTGATGAGATTGATAAAAACTTTTACGTTATAAATTCTCCATCAACAGGAGGCTTTAACATTTTTTTTATTGACTTTGAATGACCCTTTTATCTTATAATAAACTTCAATTGCTTCATAACAAATGATCTTGATCATCAAGATCATGATTTTTCTAAAAAAAAAACATTAATATTGAATTGAATAGTAAAACTTTATGTTCCATTTTCAGTTTAATTCTCATGCTTATCATGCTATCTTTTTTAGCTTTATCTTTGGAAATTCAAGTATTCTGATAAGTATTATTGTGAAATTCATTCATCTAATTAATTTTTAACAGTCTCTTTATCACTTATAACATTTAAATTAAAATTAAATGTCTTCATTTCATCTAATTAATTTTCAATGTTTTCTTATCACTTGTAACATTTAAATCAAAATTAAGTGCCTTCATTACCTAATAAAGTCTATATTTAAATCAAAATTAATTTTCAATGTTATTTTACAAGCCTATAATGCATTTTCTAGCATTTATGCTCAATATTTTCATGAGGTACTAATGATATTTTAAAGTATGTACTATTTTTTAACTTTTTATTGGACTTGACTACTTATTTGAGGATGATATAGTCTTATCACATGATGAATAACTCTTAGCAAATAAAAATTTAAATTAGTAGTTGCAAAATAACTTCCCATGAAGTGTGCTAAATTAAAAAAATATATCTTTTCAAAGAAAACTCATCATAACCCTATTATTTTTGGCTGCCAAGGTAGAATCTTCCACCCAATTTCAAGTGTAATCTACAATCATCAAAAATAATTTTTTTATGATACAAAGATGAAAAGGATATATGAAATTTATCCCTTGGATGTCAAATAATTCAATTATTAAAATATTAAAAGACATCTCATGTTTCCTATAAATATTCTCAACTCGCTAATAAAGATCACATAAATTAACATTAACAAAGGTAAAGGAATCCTCGAAATTGAAAGTACAATGAAATCCATATCGAAAAATCTTTGATCCACCAAAATGGTCACCCATTTTTAATGAATGGCAATATCAGAGTACACTCTTTGTCACTTCTTTGGGTACACATATTCTAATTATCTTGTATGTACAATGCAGATAAAGAAAAGTTTCATCTCAGCTGTAGCATTCTTATTATGATGATTAACTCTACCATTGACGCTGGATTAGATTTTTGAGCGACAATCAATACATGATTGATCATAGTAGTCCTTTGTGAAAGAATTCTGAAAGTGAAACCTGTGTTTTGGAGGCGTGTCCTTATCATGTCTTGAACATCCTTGTTGAATGACAGGTCTCAGGAGATGAATCTGAAGATTCTCCTAGTGCGAAAAGGATGGTTAGTGTAACGCTTTCTGCCTCTTTGTTTTATCTTTGTAGATAAGAATATGACTGTTTGCATTTCATGAATGAGAAAGGAAAAACGATGATATTGCATTCAATGTTTAATAATCTAGTTTAGTTTTTTTTAGTTTCAAATTTTAGTGCAACAAGACAGACTTTGAGAATTGTATGATTGCTCAGAAAAAAAGCATTCTATATTGGTTTGAATTTATTGAGTTATGGAGTGTAGCTTGTTCATCCAATTTTGTTCGCCATCATTCTCTTCAAAGCATTATGTTGTTACCTCATGGTTTGCCCATTGCTTTGCATCACTGTCAAATGAACACAGTAATCAATTAATTACTGGCTAGTATTAAATTTTGATGAGATCTAAAGCCAAGTGTTTTGAAGGATAAAATGCAAAAAAATAAGCATGAGTTTTGCTCTGGATTTTCAGTACTGGGCCTCTCAGGCTTAACAAGATTCTAAACTCAGTTTTCTGTAATTCAGTAGATTATAGAATTGCATTTCCAATCCGTTGAGTTTGTTTGCAAAAGATCACTCTTTCTGATGGATAGATCCAAATTATTAAATAATATGCACTTTGCTATGTACAACTGAATGCAGATTTAAGAGTTACTGACATTTTTTTCCCTTTGCTAGAGGGAGGATCCCTCATCTTCACAGTACCTGGATCCTAAAAATGAAGGGCCTTGTTCAAGTCATGTTATTCTCCCAGACGTTGATAGAGATTCTCATTAACAAACTGATTTTTTTATCCAATCTCGTAGAATAGTTTTTGATTCTGACTACTTCATGTTACAGACACACTTCCATGAGATACCATGTGTGGTGCTTAAGTAATTTATCATTTCTTTGCCAAATTTCTTGTTGAAACTGCTCTGTTTGTTGTCTCCACATGATATCTGATTTGCAACATGTAGTTACATTAGTTCCCTTCTTTTTTTGGTGCAGGTGCCACGCCTCCATTGTGTTGTTATTCATGGGAAACTCACAGTCTATGACTATCTGCAGAACTCCCCTCCGACAGAGGTGATTTATATAGAACTTGCTCTCATTTGAATGATTGATATAATTGCCTATATGCTTTTTCTCTGTTGTACTTCATGGGATTCTTGTGTATTTCTAATCATACTATATTATACCTATTGTAGACATGTTCTGAACCATGCTTGTCTTTGATCCTACAGCCAAAACCCCATCTAGTCAAAGAGGCGAGGGAAGCTCTGTTGAGGCATCTCACATCTATTCTTGGCAATGATGGGGTAGCAGCTCATTTCATGTTGTTGCATCTTCTGTCTAGGGTAAATGATTTTCTTTCATTCTCACGGTTTCAGTTATAGTTCATCTATGTTGACTCTACTTCTTTACTGTTTTCCATGTCTTTTGTGGACCTATTCTCTTCCCACGTCTGGTAATTCTTGCCTGTAAAGTAATGAGTTTTCTTAAGCAGGTACATGCCAGAGCAGATAATGTTGCTGTTGGGAAGCTTTCTTTGAACCTTACATTAGCAAAGAGATGGCATCTATATTCAGCACTAAACCAAGTATTGTCATCAAGAATCTTCTTCCCTTCGCAAAATGCATACCTCTGACTGTGGAATATCTCAACACAGCTTCTCTTGCTCCCAAAAAGGATTATCAAATAAATAGGTAGTGAATTTATAAATTTTGCTTCTGCAAATCTGTTGTCCTTTACATAGTATGTTAAATTGGAACCACCAATCTCTGGAATGTCCCGTTTGATTATTTGTGCCCTTCTCCTAGGAGGGTGACTTCCCGTTGTAATCATTTCTTTGAATTAAAAAGGCCTACTCGTAATATGTTAGCTTGACTGGTGATGCGTGAATGTCAAAAACTATTTTTGTTTTTTGCCCACGATAGGAACAAATCGAGAAAATTTTTATGTTTATTTTCTATAATACTGTTGTTTAGTCTCGTATCACTTGCACTTTACTGGGAGTAATGAGGTGACTCTCTATTAAGAAACTGTTTTGTCTGAGGTTGAGTATGATTTTAAGTATTATAAGATGGAGATGTACAAATGCTAATGTTGTCGGAGGGGAAATCAAACATCTTGCCAGCTGATATAATTATGCCATTCCAGCCTTCCTCGGCAGGTTCCTCAGAAGTAGTGCCTGCAGAAGTCCTGGAAGCTTGGAGATGGTACTTGGCTACTGTTAGATCTATCCCTCATTGGATCGAGTCAGAATTGGATAAAAATTACGTTTGAGTATTTAATTAGATTTGTTTTAGTTCAATTTGATTTAATTACATTTTCTATTAAAGTTGTAATTAAATTTAAAAATTAATTTAGATTATAATTAAAAAAAATTAATTAAGTACATGAAGTTAATTAGACTTTTAATTGGTCAAATTAATTTTATTAATAATTTAATTGATGAAAAATTTAAATTTAATATCCTAATTAAGTTTTAATTGAAAAGATTTTAATTTCAGAGAACAAGATTTAATTTTTATAAATTTCAATTGGATGAAACCAAAAATAAAATTACAAGAAAATTAAAATTCAGGACCCAATTAAGAGTTAAATTGAAGAAATTCAAGATTGAGAACTTTTTCACATAAGATGTGCAAAGTCAGGAGCCAAATTCTATTGAAAATAGGGGTAAGATTGAGGAAATTATAAGCTTGAAGGTCAATTGAGGATGAATTGAAAATATCTAAGATTAAGGACCATATTGAAAAACGTGCTAAAATCAAAGGGCCCTTTTGAAACTTTCCATGGGTAAAATTGAATTGATTCCTAAAATTAGAAGCAATTGGGGATTTAATTGAACAAATTCAAAAGATTAAAAGCTTAAATTAAAAAAAAATAAAACCCTAATTAATCTAGGGTAATCAACACGACATCATTTTATTTAAATAAAATAATGCATTTTTATCAAAATTACACCATTTGTTTAGTCATGAAAAAATAATAATAAGAGGGTCAGATAGCCACTATTAATCTTCTTCTCTTAAAAAGCCATGAGAATATCTAATTATATTGCCATATTTCAAGTCTAAAGCCTAAAACCCTTTTCATCTCTACCCCTACACCAAAAAAGAAACACATCTTCCTCATTTCTTGACAAAGTACTCCTAACCAGACAAAACAAAGGCTTTTTGCGGCTTAAAGGTGTTACTATAAGGCCTAAAACCCACACTCAAATCATTCTTGCCAACCAAAACTAATAAAAATTAGTTAGTGTATTTCTTTTATCAATTCTTAAATATTGAAAGGGTGATCCTCAACCTCAATGAATGACTAAGACTTATTCCTCTGTATTTGTTTAATTAAATGTATATTATTTATATTTAAGAATGTGAAAAATAACCAATAAAACAATGTTGAAAGGTATTTATAGTTGATATAAGAGATATGGACTTTACTTGTTATTTTACTTTTGATTTTATGTTTCTTGTTGTTTTCATTGTTCAAGCAAGTTGTGTTGAGCATGCTTAATCTAGGGTTGATAAGTTTAGGCTATTTTCTAGCTTCCTAAGGCTTGTTTTTAGGCTAAACTCTTGCTGAGTAGTTTTAGATTATTCTTGGTTTTTAGGTTGACATTCATTAGATGAACATTGCATTGAGTCTTTGATTTACATATTTTCTTTATTATTTATTGGCTCTTACATATGCAAGTATGCTTGTTGATCACTAATCTAGAATCTAAAAGGCTTAAAAACATTAAAATCTTGGTATTTAATTGTGGATTCTTTGTTTTGTATTGTTTTATCAAATCAAATAATTATGACATTTGGTTGTTTGTTGTGTTAATCCAAACTCAAAATCTTGTTTGAGAGTTGTTTTTACATGTTTGAGTACCCTTAATTTTATGTGATTTGGTATGAAATGAAATTCATGTTGTTGGGTTCTTCAATATGTTGTTTATGAATTTTTAGGAAAAACCTTTAGTTTGATCTTCACTTGTTTTGTTTTATTCCCAGGTTGTGTTTTTGTTCTTAGGCCTCGAGCCATGAATCCCAACCCACGTGATTAGGTTGAGCCAACCCTTTCTAAGTTGTGTTTCTAGGCTTGGGCTAGTAAGCCCATCCCATGTGGCTAGGCTAAGCTCATTTTGGCCATAAAGGCGTGTTTGGTGAGCCTAGTTTTTACCACATGAAAAATGCTTTTGTTCTTAAGTCGTGTTTGTTAAACATGAACTTAAAGCATTTTTTAATGCTCTATCTTTAGTTTAGGGGGTGTTTTGGAAAATTGCCATATTGATTTTCCAGTAATGTTTTTTTTTATTCTTTTGCTAAACAAGCCCAAATATTTTCCAAAACAATTTTGAATAAATTCAAAGATTATTTTTAAACTATTTATGGGTCCTTTAGGTATTTTTTTTATAATTTAATCTAATATTAGGTTATAAACTTACATTGTAGGACACTGATCCGATATTAAAAATACCAGGTTTTTCTCTAAAATTTCAAAAAAAATTCTTATTTGAAAAATACAAAAATATGTCTTTTTGTTTTTACAATTTTACCTAATATCGAGTTGTAGACTTAAATGTAAGATAGTGACCAGGTATTAAAAATATTTATTTATTTTAATTTAAAATAAAATCAAAAAATTTCAAAACAAATTCCTCATTTCAATATATATATTTGCATGCATGCAACCAAATTCTAAAAGTTTTTCATGTATATTTTTATAAAAAAAATTGATAATTATATTTTTATTATGTTTTTTAAATAAAAAAATAGGTATTATAACAATTTAATGGTCATCCATTATGATTTGATCAAAATTTAAAAAATATCATAAAAATTAATTAGTTTAATTAATATTCAGGGTATGAACTTTACAATATAATGTATACTCTCGGTATTAAATTAAATTAATTAATACCAAGAAATATTAAAAATTAGTTGTATATTTTATTATTTGAGAATATAAAATTACACTATAAAGTAAACCCTTAGATATTAAAGTTACTAAGTAGGAAATAAATGTAATGCTAAAATTTAGATTCTAGAACGGTTAGGATTTAGCCTAATAAATTAGGGATTTCCTCACGAAAGATGTCTATCTTGAACCTTAGATAAATTAATGGATAGAAACATGATCTAGAAAAACAATCAATCAATAATACAGCGTATCATAGGTAGGGTACACTAAGGGTGATATGTATTTTCCTTGCACAACTAGTACTTTTACCTAAACTCTCGTAGATCTTTAGGTTTTTTAGTGACCATGACACTAGATAGCAACTCCTTTGAAATAATAATTTTATGATAAATCCCAAAAACCATTTAATCCATGAGAGAGACCCGTCATTTGACATCGTGCATGCCATAAGAAAATGGCAACTCCACTAAGGAGATCTCTGGTTGTAATATGTTGTGTTGATTGTTTTCTTATTTTGTGCTTTATTTATTTTATTTATGTGTGTGATTTAATTTTAGCATGTATGTTTTACTTATTGTTCATGCATAAGCACTTTAGATATCGATTAATACCTTTACATATTTTAATTATGAGCATAAACCTAATTCTAGACTAGGTGAGGGAATATCAGTTTGCTTCATGACTTTTAGTCAGGGTTTAGATTTGTAAAACATATAACTATAAGCTAAGAGTTTACTTGATAATAGTGGTCATACTGTGCCCCAACCATTATTTATAAACCCCCTTACTGCCTTCATGAAAGATCGTCACTAAGCAAATCGTAGACCCTTTTAAGACTAGGTAGTTAGATTACCCTTCATGTAATGGCTAGAACAGGCCTTTAGAATATTGACCTCTTAATAATTCATTTTGCATTAAGGTAGGCTTGATAAAAAATTCTTAAACTTTGTTGGATTTATTCAAGCTAAAATCATGACTTCTATGATCTTTTTCACCTAAGATGATGTGTTAGCCCAACGACCAAAGCCAATGAATTACCATACATAACTAAAATATATTATTTTGTTTGTCTTTATTAAATGAAAAAAAAAAAGGGCTCAGACCCACTCTTTTGTATTGTACTACTCTCTAATATGTATGGGATGTAACTAAGATGAGCAATTAGGAAAAGATTTTTTCATATTCACCAGACTATGGATTTTTGCTCATATTATATACAGAAGTAATGGATTAGCTTTTTTAATAAACTAATCCATATTTGATATACATATGCATACACTTTCATCCATATATAAGCATACATGCATTCATGCTTTGAGGTTTTAAATGTCATGTATGCATGTCTACGTTGAAATATAGGTCCTCGAAAAGCCCAAATTCATATATAAGCATCAACTTTGACAAAGAAACATAGAAGATAAAGAATGCAATTGCCACGATGCCCATTTCCAAGAGGTCTTCAACTGCCTAGAGATTAACATGGCTCACATCACTAGTTTGCTCAAGAATATGCTAAAAAACATCTTTGGTAAAGGTTCGTCCAATCGGCCTTTGACCTTTGCCCAAACTGAGATAACAATTCATCTTGAAGAAAGAATGGATGGACAATGTTAGGAACCCTGTATTTGTATAGTTAACAATACCTACACTTGTAATTAATCTCATGAGATAAAATCTTATAATGAAATTTGTTATTATAAGATAACAGCGTTAAAAGCAACAGTAAAGGCTATTAAGGGTATGGAATCGTATGATCCCATACAAGCCATAAAAATATGTCAAGTTCCAAACGTGGCTATACCAAAAACATTCCATGTACCTGAGTTCATAAAGTACATCAAAACTTAGTGCTTTAATGTTCACTTTAATTTTTATTGCAATGAGATAGTTGAAGTAGTGCATGATAAAAAAATTATTGATACACTTCTTTCGAAACAGTTTGAGTGGTTAACACTAAGTTGGCAT